TGCATAGTTGGTCAATAAGCCCGCTGTCAATGCATATCGTAAGTTCGCGCGCAGCCAGTGTGCCAGTTCATGTATTTCTTTAATACGGATTTTGTGCAACTGCTTTGGAATAACAACTGCATGTCAGCTTAACCCTGACTGTTGTTTCATCAAGACACCGGGGACAATCAAAGTCAAAGTCAAAGTTTTATTAGGGGATTTGCTTAGAAGCTCATGCTTCTTTGGTCCCCATAGGATATTTACACAGTTGAATCGCTTCTCAGCAAAGAAGTCAATTGTCACATAAAGCTCCAAGTAGGAGATAACAGATAATGTAGTTTACAACGTATTTGCGTTTATTTTTAGTTGTGTAGGAATATGAAGTGTACCAGGGTTTCATCCGGTCTCCGCTGGAAAGATTCAATAGTAGGTGCACAAACAAAGTGAGATGGAAGCTAGTTCCTTACGGATCTCTATGACTTCGTGTGTTTACTATGCTGTGCGTTTCGGTATTCTTTCTTTTGTGAGGTTGCTCCAATCATCATCCGGAGTTGTTTGTCCTTGCGCTGTACCTTCACTTATTCATGTTGGTCTTGTTCCACTGTCAGCATACCGAGACTGAATGTATATAGTTCTTTCTGGAGAATCAAAATGTCCGCGATACATTTTTCGGCACCTGCAATATTGTGATGGAAGGTGGTACAAATAGAGCCCCGGCTAGCGAACGAATTAAGAATAGGGCCCATCCAACCAGATGCGCAGACGTAGCGGCTGGAAGTAATTCGCGAGACAATGTCGACTACCACTCGAAACGAATGAATCGACAATTACAGCCCGACGGACAATCCGCATCTAGACAAAAAGATATCCACCGAATGCGACAACGTCGGAGCTTTCGATCAACGTATCTTGCGTTACAATCGGGTCAATCCAGTCGGAACGGCACGTGTAAGAAGAGGCACCGTACGTGCTAAGTGCAGACCAAAACCAGCAGGGATTGACCAACAGAATGAGGTATGTATCACCCTGCCGCGCTGTTAAGAATTGACTGTATATAATTGAACGCCTATATCGGTTTTTTAATTGAATCAATCAACGTTTTGCCAACCAACTCGCCTTCTCGTTACGTTGGTGCCGTCGCCAGTCAGCACAACGCAATGAAAGTACCTTGGCCGAACGCGTTTACAAACGGAGCATTAATCGCATCATACAACGGCATCAAAGGAAATGCACATCTGGTAATCGCGTTGGGTACACTGCTTTCCGGACGAGCGAGGGCCGCCTACGCTTTGAATTTGGAAAGTAACCAAGCCCTGGATTATGAGAATTTTAAAGCTGCGTTGGTGGCAGTGTTTTCAAAGGAGGGTGACCGTGAGAAGGCAATGAATCGGTTTTCCGCTGCGGAGTACAACCGGACTGAGTACCCGTTAGTGCACTACCAAAACATAAAGCGACGAATTTCTCTGGGCCTGTCGGAAGGCAAACACTGTAACGCGGGAGAGGCTGGCCAAGGACCGGTTCATACAAAGCATGCCGGCATAGATGAGAGACAAACTGAGGCTTGCGGTGGCGTGCGGGGTAAACGATGCAGACCGCCTAATTTCGATTGCGCAAGCCTATCAACAAGATGACGTGGTTGCTAGGATGGATCCTTCCGAAACTGAATATAAGATTGAACAAATACTTGAAGAAACTAGGAGACTGAAGGAGGAACTCAAGGACGGATCACAAGAAAGGAGACGTTTCAGGGCTCACGTTCGACCAAAACGGTGTTTCACTTTCCACAGAATAGGGTATTTTGCTCGTTTTTGCCCAAAGCACCACATTCGTTCGTGTTTTTCTCTTTCTCATCTGACATCCCGTGATGATGTCGAGGTTTTCATTTTGGGACGGTCAAAGATGGCTTTTAATGATGCAGGCGCCGGAATTTCCGTTATGCCTTGGGTGGAAGGGGTTCCGGTGAGACCGTGCAATCTGAGCGTACGTGCGGTTGGGGGTGTGTCTCTCAGTCTTGGAGAAACAATGTGTCAGTGTGCAGATTGGCGGGATGACCGTCACCCATGTAATCGAAGGTGTAAGTGAGATTATAGTCGGCGTCGATCTGCTCAGGCGCGTGGGTGCGAAGATTCATTTATTGGGAGGTAAATTGCTCGTGGGATCGCAAGCACACGAATTAAACTCAAGAAAACAAACGCATGCCCTCGTCAGCGTTGTGAGTAAATCGGCTGGTTGTTTTTGAATTGAATCAATAAACGCTTTGTCAGGCAACTTGCCTTCTCGTTACAATATGACTGATTGTGAGATCGTACATCTGCAGAAGGAGCGCCCATTCGGCTAGTTTTCCTTTCGGGTCCTTGACGGGTCTAATCCACTCCGGTGGATTGTGGTCAGTTTAAATATGAAACCTTTGACCCAGAAGGTAGGGTCACCACTTATCCACCAAACCATCCAAACCATTGCAAGACATTCATTTTCCGTGGTGGAATATATCCAATTCGTCGGATTAAGGACCCCGCTTGCGTATTGAACCACTCCACTTGCTTGGTTGAGTATGGAACTCTTTCCCACCTCACTGGCATCCGTCACAACTGTGAAGCGCTCACCAGTCGTCGGCAACTTCTGCGTCAGAAGTTGTTCGAAAGTGAGCCTTTGAAGTTCATCGAAGGCTCTCTGGACCACTGGTGTCCATTGAAAGCGGTGTACTTTCTTGAGAAATGCGTATAAAGTTTCAGCGATATTTGAAAAAGATTTTAAAAATCGGCTTTAGTATGCGNCATAGCCTAGGAACCGTTCTAATGTTGTTTAGAATCTTCTCAGAAAGTGACCTCACTTCCCTGTTTCCAACCTCATGACCAAGTATTATCACCATCGGCTTCCCAATTTGCGACCTCGACCAATGAATCCAAACACCAGATTCTTGGATTCTTTTCAGAAGCTTTTCCTATGGAACATATGTTCGGCTGTTGTTTAACGGTTGATAACATTATCGTCGCCATACGGCATCACGCTGGGATCACCAGTGAGTAGCTTCAGCATGAGCATGGTGCTTCTGATAACCAGAACGGCGATCGTTTGAAGTGCTACTGTTTATTGCCCAGTGTGATCCAGCAGCACGAGCGAGTTGTACGGACCTAAAGAAAGATGGGAGACCTGTGCGAAGAAACGGTCCCACGATATCGATGATCCTGGCGGAATTCGTGCTAGAAAGGAAAAGAATGCGTGAGCGAATGCCCCAAGCAACCAATGCCCGCAACCATGAGAAAGCATACATGCGCAATAGCCAGACCAAAGACAACTCTGGAGCATACTCCACTGTCGGTCTGAAACCACTGCAAGGTGCTTTAATGAGGCTTCGGTTCTACCTTTTCTTTTCTACTGAGAAAATACTAAGCGCACATTGACCTCCTCTAAAGGATTTACGCTGCAGATCTTCCGACATCGGGGCCGTCACTTGCCGGATATTTTCCAGGCAAGCTGTGTTCTGTTTGTATAAGGGCGACCCAGTCTGAATCTGGGAATCTGGAGGGGGTCTTTTATTGGCCATGCCCATATGCATAAAACCGCTTTCCCACAAGAAAGCGTAAACTTTTGTCTAAATAGTTAATTCACAAACGTTACGGCGGCAACTTCACTTTCGGCATTCCAAATGAAGTTTGCATTCACCAGGAATCCCTGGCCACTAGTGTTTTAAACGCTAGTTATTTCGACACATCACAACTCTCCTTCAGATTTCATTGAGTTGTTAGATTCTGTAGCATTGGGACTATGATTTGGAATCGAATAGTTCGAACTCGGATTCCGACTGAAAATCCACTGAATAGCGTAAAATCAGGTAGAACCCAGACGAACTGCGGAGACAATCAATTCTATTCGGAAAACCATGCAATAAATATCACAAACATCACACAATCATTGGTCGATTCTTCCACGTCTAATCAAGGATGATATGGCTTATTCGGTTGCCTTCTTGCATTCAGCCAATCCGATTGATTCTACTTGAAACCACAGAGTTGATCGGGAAATCCGTTTCCTGATTGAATACTTGGAAGCTGAAACGTGGTGCATGCATATTGCTTGCACGACCACCACACCATATCAACATTTGTTTGGGTTTTTGCTTTCCGTTAGAATCACTCTGTACATTTGATGTAATCGTCTTCCTTCTCCCCGTCTGAAACAACTGCATCGAAACCATGAACGCGCGGCCAAATGTAGGGCCTATTGTTTGATGAAAACCATATCAAAGCCCATCAAGATTGAAGCTCACTATCTAAATTTCTTTTATGCTCAACACATTCTGTAAAACCATTCCATTGATAATCCTGGAGAACACTTAAACAGGTTAGCGATCCTCCAGTCAGTGGACGAACTCCGTTCGTGGATATTGATGGTATAAACCATGGATTCATCATACCATCTAACCATGGGTTTCGTTCCCTAGGAGTACGTTCGCCCAGTACCTTACATTTTTACTTTGATGAACGATTCAAAAGAAATATGTGAAGAGCTACAGTCGTTGAACCCCCGCAAAACCGGCAGATCAGATGGGTTGCAACCAACTGAGTTGAAGGAATTTCCCGATACCTTGTCACATATCCTGTCCAAAATATTCAGCCGTCGTATTTTCTAATTTTCAATACGAGATTGCTAGAGAACAACCAGTTTATTACCAATTCTCAAGGAAGATCCTACCGAATTTCGTCCTATAGCTTGTACTTTGACCACCCCAAATGCATTTGACAGGATACTTTTACGCATGTTTCCCCACAGTTGAACATAACTGATTGCAATCAACTCACCTAGTCTCGTCAACTATTTACCCTTCATGCTCTAGCCTCCGTAGTTCATTTAATTCTGTCATCGCTGCACATTAAATGCCAAACTGTGACAATATGCTTGTTTTTATTATGAAAGTATATACAAAGAAGACTCGTTGTGTTATTAGCTTTATTCAGCAAACGTAATCATATCGTAGAACAAGTCAATAATTACTGATCCAATGGGATGCCTCCATCAATCACTCACACACGTGGCATGCCTGCGCTAACCATGGATTCGATCCCACATTCGTCGACTCCTCGTCGCATGCGGAAAAATCCGTTCTCACCCCATTCTTCGTTCCACGAATTCGCAATCAACCAGTACTTTTCACCGTTTTCCTCTCCCCAGCCGAGTAAGCGAATCGCGTGACCTCCTAAGCGGCGACCAGTTACATGAGAGTAAATTCCACTTTCATAATTCGCGAAGTCTTCGTATACAAAGAATCCAGCTTCGACTGGTCCCCGCGTCATAATTTCATACATTATATCCTTTTCTCTAGCAAGTAAATTGTACGAAGATTGTCCTGTTTTTTTTCAAATAAAATGAAGTCAAATAGAACTGTTTATGATTTCGATTTACAAATGCAACCACTGCAGTAGACCTGGTTAATAATAAGCGAAACACATAAGTATAATAGCATAACCTAAAACAAGGGAGTAATGAGCGATCGAAAGTTTGATGTACTCGACATATTTTATCAAGTCTAACCATTTAGAAAATATAAAATCAAACCAATCCCAAGCTACTGATTTGGAAGTAAAGGGCAATAATAAAAAATTCTCGCATTTCATGACAAGCCATCATCGATTATTTCCTATTTCACGAATACATTTTCTGATGTCCGATTAGTTTTTCTACACTGAAGTCAGTCATTTTCCACAGCGTCCATTTACACACTCATCCTGGTAACGGCATTTATGATTGGAAATCAGTCGGTCGAGCAGCATTTTCCCTTGCGATTATGATGACAACTCATCATCGGTATCGTCGAAAACGGAAAAGGAACTTGAATGTGGGATAGATGGAAAAAGACATCCCGGATACCCCCTCCTTCAATTGTCATGAACTCATACATTGTCGCCTGTGCTGATAATCGGTCGAATGTCACTTGGTATGATACTGAAAATCGACTGAAGACGTTTCACAAAGATGATGATACACTACCCTAATTTTCAATGTGGTGGATCTTGATTTAAAATGCACTAGTGGTCAACTGAATTTTCTACTGTGAATTTGGGATTCAGCAAGCAAACCCAACTGTTTTTCACTAGTTTCACTTCGAGCTGCTCAGACTAAGGCAGGATATATTTGTTAACCCTCCATATATGAAACGTATCTAGCTATGACACGTTAGTTGCATTGCAACACTGCAGGAAAGTGGTGGTAGATAAACAATCACAGGGACTGTGCACTCGAAAAACGGACGGGATGGATATACCTAAACGCTTGCCTCACGTTTGTCGATCAAGTGTGAATGCGAAACGTTTTTCACTCTAATCACTTCAAATCGACAGTTTTCTCGCCACATTGGTGATGAGTAGATTAGCCAATAAGATTGCATTACGTTTGAAGGGTTACGACTTAAGTATCATAAGTTGCAGGATTCAAATACAAAATACATCGATATCCAAAACCTTTCACCACAACAATTTCCCAATCACTTACCGTAAACTTTGTCCTGCTCGTACGTTTTGTTATAACCGGCCTGACATTTTCTTTCACAGAACGGAGTTCGAAAGATTTCCTTCGGGCAGGGCTTTAGTGTTCCAGATGCACCATGATGACTGCATTTGGGGAATGGATAGGGCTCACATCCGGTCGGGTTTTCCAGTGAACCGCCAGTCACAATGCCGTAGCTTTTCCAGTAGTCCCAAGCCAATGGAGGATAACCTCCGTGGCATCCNTGTCCACAGTGTCCGCAACAACTAAGCAGATCACGAGCGCTCAAATCGGCCGTTAATTGACCGTTACTGTGGATACACGTCCGATCGGTCATGGCCTCCGTGGCCCCAAACGCCTGCAATGTACATTTTAGAATAACAGCTTTTATTACAAAGGAACAAACACGTACTTCGAGTAGACAACTATATGAATTGTTGAAATCCTGTATGTTCGAATTTCTCGGTTCCGAAATTTCGATGCGAATTCCTATGAACTTCCACTATTTTTCTTTCTTGTCGAGAAACTCGCCATTAAACATATATCGCATTAGGTAATATTGTTTCAGAAGACCTCGACGGACAGGTATATGGCCCTTGCAATACGATTTAACCGTCCGAGGATTTTGAAAGCCGAATGATCTTCAATCGCCATGATCGCGATGTGTACAATGCGATTCATTGTCTTATGAGTTCAAAATCCATACTCTCATCACCACCGGACCATAGATCCCATTTCGATGTGTATCCTGCGGATTCGTGGACAGCAACCGCCGCTATTGTTTGGGTAGGTCGAAATAGCTACGCTTTTATGAGAAATGATTCTAAAGCAACTGATTGTACTGAGAGTAGATGGTAAGAGAACTAATGAGTGACTTGTGAGTGTGAATGTGCATGAGCACCGCGAATAAGAGTGAATACCACAGATCACTTACCCAACAGGATCCGCAACTCGACTGATCTCGAATCTCTTTGATCGACGGACATTGAGGCCATTGTTCTCGTGCATCAAACGACTTTGGTAGATCTCGATTGAAGGCATTGTGGTGAACGGTCGGCCGACGTGAGTTCCGTTGCTCTGGAGTTTCGAACAAAGCTCCCAAGTGTTGTTTGAACTCTGCCACATTCTTGAATCGTTTTGACGGAGCTGCCGACCAACTGGCACCGGACTATCGGGCGAAGAGTATTACAAAATATGCAGTGATTGTGATCGATTTGAGGAAGTGTTTCGCAGATATTTCTATAGTCAGATTAAACTTACTTCTTCATTTACATAACGGATCAGTTCGTCAGAGAACGGTTCAAAGTGCTTGTCGGAGTGTGAAGTTGCATGTATAATGGCGAAACTGGACAGCAAAACGAAGAACCACATGGTTGTCTGGTGCACACTATAGTTCAGACCTACTACGGGTGTGCATTTTTATACATTATTGACTACGTGTTTGACAGCACTAAACCACCCCGTGGTCCCCACTCGCGAAATATCCTAAAGTACTTGGTTCTAGATATTGAACTTTGCTCGTAGTTTGCACTCTTACGAGGGCAAAAACGATAATACAAATCTTTGGTTTGGGTCCGTTCAATTCGAATCGAATTTGGTGCTCACATAAAATCTCAAAAAATGTGTATCGATATCATAACTGGAGCGACTCAATGCTCCATACAGATCAGACATCACATTCAGTTTCCAATAGAAAGCCTGTCGACAAAAAGACGGTGTTATGCTTGCAAGTGTTTTAGAGCAATCTTCGCGAATCTGTTCGTGACTGAGTTGGAAAACAAAACAGTACATTATTCATAAGATACATTGATGATGTACTTATGATGGGACATGACCGAAAGCAAGTAACCTCTTCCCCTCGGCTGATGCATAGTTTGAACAAGAAAATGCACTTCACGTTAAATGAAGAACAAGACGAGAGCCTCGCGCTTTCGACATTCGAATGACAAGTAAGCATGACGGAACCACTCTTCGGAGTGTATACAGCAAGAGAACACGGACGGGCCAGTATCTACATTTCCGAAGTTTTGTGCCAATCAACTAGAAGCGCGAGATGGAAAAAAGCGCTTTTCCATCGAGGACATCGCATTCACACCGTTGATACTATTCAGAGAGAGAGAGTTGGATCAACTCCAATCAATTCTTGTCCAGAACGGTTATCCAGGCAGTTTTATGAAGAATTTCAGTCGGACAACGAAGAAGAAACCTGTAGTATGTGATGACCCTAAAAAGATGGTTGACAATTACCTTCCCTCATAAAGGCGACGATTTGAAGACCGATAGAAAAGTGGTGCTACCAACCTAATCGACATGCGCACAACCACACGCATCTCCAATCCATCCACAAAGCACCCCACCATCTGTCCGCCAAATTTCACACATAACAATTTGAATGTGGACGGGGAGAATCTTGCTTTGGTGAAACAGGTAGGCATCTGCTTACATCGATTAAGGAACACATCTCATGTTGGGTTAGTGGCCGATTGGTCGAGCGAGTCACATGGTCGAAGCTCAATCTCCCACTCTATCTTTTTAGATACACATACACGTATCATCCACCGCTAACACACTCAACCACATCATATCAATAACAAACACCGATTATCAACAAGAACACCAAATACACAATCAGTCTTCATTGTCCATCGTTCGACATCGTTTCATGGTGGTGGTGGTGGTGGTGGTGGTGGTGGTGGTGGTGGTGGGGCTCGAGAAAGCCCCGGCTGCACTGGGTTCGCGCAGTTGTTTGTAATTGGAAGATTGAAACCCGACTGGAGTACAAAAAGAACTGTCAGCCCCACCATCACTGTCCTGACACTAGTAAAATGTGTGAACATTCGGCCCTGTCGTATTTGTGTGCAACTAATGTACCGTCCAATGGTATACACGGCTGTTTTCTGTCAAATTGTACCAGTTAGGATGCAGAGAAATTCGCCTTGGTATGAACCGTACAACCTAGCTTTGTTGTGCTCTCTCTTCAGGTGCATCTCAGGAAATGAATGTTTCATTTACTAACTAACTAGAGAACACACATGGACGAACTTTCATCGTCATCGTGACCCAGTGTTGCTCCGTCTGAATCCACACGCAGCCATCAATTCGCATACGTCAAAATTCAGGTGACTGATTTCTGTACCAAGTGAACCTCACTGCATTCAAAAAAGAACAGCTGGAACTATGAGCAGTGCATCCACTGGCGCCTTTTCTGCAAAGCTTAATATGTGCTGAATCAACCGTCCGAAATAACACCACCCGAGGGGTTACGTGTTCCAGTTTCTGGACAACGGACCACAGGAGAACGAACGGTCTCGATCACTCAAAGGACACTCAGGTCAAGCAGATTGCGTGTGACTCGGAGAACAAGGACTGCAATTGGTTGATGCCCATTTAACCATAGGAATTTCTGTCTACACGCTTTTTAATCCCTTGATTTCCTTCGATAAACGAACTGCTAGTTCTGTGGTATTTTTCCTACATCCCGGTGATGTGAGATTTCGGTATACGATAACCATTGTGATCTCGTGTTGTGTCAGCGATTACGATTCGGGAGTCCTGTCTATTCTGATGCACCTATTTTGTTTCTCTCCGTAATTCTATCGGATTCCATATTCATTCACATGGCGAGCTTTTGAAACAGTCTTCCTCCAACTAGTTGTTAACAGATGACCAATACCAAGTTCCTCAAACGTGAAATACGTTTGAAACTACAAATAATTACAGTATGAAATAAGTTAATCCACAAGTTTACGAATACTGGCTTACATGGTTCCCCGCTGATTATATCTTTCCGCAACTCGTGCTGTTGGACTCTGAGAATGATTTTATTCTACTGGGTTCCATGAGGTACCTATCAAAATCCAATGAACTCACTAAAGTGATCGTAGTATTATCATCCTACAAGGCGGTGCCTGGTTGATGATAGTTGTTTATTGAAGAATACTGTGAGGATATCGATAAGTTGACATGCATATAACAGGATATCTTGTTTGAAATTTCTCATCAAAATGCCCGACATCGCACAAGGAAATGAATGAAACAGTCGGTAGCTATTATTTGCCCTCAGTGTTTTTGTTCATTTTTACCGTTGAAAGAAACCGCTAATTGCATTTTCGGATACTACTGAAAAATACAAGCAGTATCTTACTCGTCCCTGCAGCGAAAACGATCGATGTATGCCCCAACCAACGGTCGATTGCTTCTTGAACGTGTTTGTCTCGAGTTTTGGACATTGAGCAGCCTCGTACTTGATTTATTTTGTTGGGGGATTCTGGAGTTTGTTTCTTTCGTTTAAATCGCCCACTGGTCGTTGTCTCGTGTCGTATTGCGAGACCATTTCGATGCAAACGATGGACTTGTTTCATTCTTTGTACTTGATACACGGCATGGCGTTCTTCAACTATGCAATATGAACACTTCCATCAGGGGAGCAACCTCCTCGAACCCGTTCGCTGGCGAATCTCTCAATATGCCGCTTATACTTCATTTTAGATCCAACATCATCATCGTCGCTCAGCGAGATACAGTGAAGCGAGCTTCACTGATGCTTGCCGTCCGTCTAGCTTGTATCATGGACTTGCATCTTCTGTCCTCCGACACCTTCAGCAGATAATCCTGGGTCTCACATCTTTCCCGTTGACGTTGTTTAGGAGAAAACTCATTTCACAGCCACATACCAACGACAAGGTCCTCTGGTAGCTTTGGAATTCTTCCATACATAAAATAAAATGCTGTATGTTTGATAATGGCCTGCGAGGTATAATGATACGCTAAAATTAGTGAAGGTAGGGCCGGCTCTAAATTCCCCTCTTTCACTGTAACCCATTCTTTGATTGTTCTATTCTTTCTTTCGACGAGGACGTTGGTGATAAAGAGTTTTGTGTGTCCTTGTAAAGTCTAATTTCTTTAAGCACGTCCGAAGTTCGTCACCCTCAAAGCACGGGCCTAGATCCGTAAGAATGGTTTGTGGCACACCATGATTTGCCGCGATATTGTAGTGATTGTAGTAATGGTAGTAATACGCACTGAACTCGGAATGCAAACCACGTAATACGAATCACGGAATACGAATCAGGGATAAGCAATCACGGACTGGATCACGTATGCACTGGGCCGCACTGGCACTACCACGCAATATCCCACGTAACTGAGACGCGAGGAAAAGGCCACAGAAATGCTGGTTAGTTTATTGGAAGAATAAAGGGGATTAAATAATATGTACAAAAGAAGAGCATTGGTTATCCAGACTTCGACCAATCGCATTCCAGTATTTCTTGCATCATTCTGCTTCTGTCTGGACTGCACTGTCTCGGATTGGCTGGCACGATCTGCC